ATTTAGTATATCTACATGATATATTTCTTCCAATGCTTTTGATTCAGATTATCCACTCTTCCCAACTCCTACAACTATACCTTTCTTCCATCTCCGAATGAAACACTAACTCTTTTAAATGCAGTAAGTGAAAGGAATTTGTGTTTGTCACCAGCCTTATGCCTCGAACAAGCACTGTCTATGTACCAATGCTTGCTTCTTTCACTTTTACCTGTAAAACAATTTCAAAGGTTAAGTCTTAGGAACCCAGACTAGCTTGGGTCTTTTTCGATGATTAGAGGGGTGAATAAGATTTCTTTTTTCCAAATTGGCAACAAGTTGTTGTACCTGTTTCTTTGACCTGTATTGAAGTTGATTTTACCAACTAATCCAGATATCTTATTTCTAGATTTGTTAGTGACTGGACATTCAGTAGTTAGGTGTCCAAGTTTGCCACTAATGTAGCATAAGTCTTCTGTAATAGCACTTTCTCTATGAAAATCTATATTAGCTTTCTCATTATGAATTCTTTCACTTATATGGTTAAAATTTTTGGATGAGTGTGTCCATCGATTAGATTTTTCAAGATCCATTTTTAGCCTAAACACTCTTAATTTTTTTTTTTAACTTTGGCTTTCTCACAGAAAAAAATCAATGTTGTACTCTTTCAGAGCATCTGCTAACCTCATCTCAGTATCACTTATTTTCCTCTTTTAATAATGGATAACTTAAGAATTACATATTTCAAATTCAAGTTTGATGAATCAAGTTTACCAATCTATATCTTTAAAGAACAATTTTCTTCTTCAGTTACAGTTTTATAGTTTTTGAGTTCCATGCACTCAGTTTTTTGATCTACAAAAACGTTGAACAGTTGGTCTCTTCACAGGTTATTCTTGAAAATAATGAACTAAGCCTTTCATTAAGCACATTAATTTTTTCTTTAAAAAAAGGTTTAATTTTTCTTTTAACTCCAGAATATTTACCTATAGTTTTTCACATTCTTCTTCTTTTTCATGGCCGGAGTCTCTTACTGCCATGAGAGTAGTCTCATCTACTTCTTCATCAGATTCTTCAGTTCCTAATCCTCAAGCAGCAATCATAGCACATTCTTCTTTTTCTTTTATTTTGCAGCCTTTCCTTTTAATTCATTTTCAGCTCTTTCTTTCCTTCATTCAACATACCATTGAGGACATTTCCATACATGATCATCAGTCTTACACACTTGTATATCTGGTTTAAGATTTTTCATTTTCCTACTACTTGTTACATGTTTCCTTCTTGTCATTCCCCTTTCCCATTTAAAAAGAACTTCTTAATTTTTTTTGCCAGGAATGTCATTTGTTGTTCATCTAGATCAGATTTCACCATCAGATACTTTCATGGCTAGTGACTTATTATGAAATATTTTCTCTTTTATCAAATCATTCATATTCATCTCATAAGTTCTGAGGTTTCCTAATAGTTCATCAAATGTCATGATGGAGATATCTTTATCTTTCCTAATGACAGTAATTTTGACATCCCATTCTACCTTTGGAAGAACCCTCAAAACTTTGTCAAGGGATGAAAACAAATTGATTAGAGTATTAGTATAGTAATAATCTCTACAAGTGGTTTGTTTTCCTTCATCTTGAAGGTTTCATAATCAGTGAACAACATGGCCACTCTGAATTTCCTGACTTGATTTGTTCCTTCATGAGCATTTATTAGTGTGTCCCATATCTTTTTAGCAGTGGTAAAGTTTGGGATCTTGTTTTACTCATCAGGTCCTAAGACATACACAAGAACATTTTTGGAATTCACATTCTTCCTGAGAGCCATTAGATCTTCAACACTGAAGTCAACCCTTACCTTTGTAACTTGACCTTCTTCCATAGCTTTTATCGAGATGATTGGTCTTGTAGCTATTCTGGCCCATAGTTCATAATCTATAGCTTGAATAAAGTCCTCTAAAGTGTGCCTTTCACAACCCAAAGTATTATATTGAACACTGGTGGTCTGATGGTTAATTGTCCTTCGCTATGACCGATAGGTAATACAAAATTCATCGTGATCATATATTAGGTGTTAGCCTTTATAAGAAAACCTGCTCTAATATCAATTGATATTTTACATGACCTAGAGTTATCTTACTTATCTATGCTCTTACCTAGGTGAACAAGTTGCCTAACATGTTTCAATTATAAGGTAAGGACAGTAAACTAATAACACAATACTTAACATGGAAACACCACTCAAAATGGTGTAAACATGTGACTTGTTCCACAACAGGATTTACTCCCAAACTTCACTACAATAATGAGCTTCAACAAATATGATTACAAAGTTATGTAATCTATAGAATATTCAATTAAGCCCCATGCTAGCACAAACCTCCAAGTCGTGTGTTCCCAAGTCTTTGAGTTGCCCTCAACTTGAAGAATATGATCCTATTTCAGGCTATAACTTACTAAAACCTTCATAGAACATAAATTCTGTATTAGGGCCTAGTTCTTTGAAGTGTTACTTCAAAGTTCAGCTACACTTCAGAAAAGTCAATATGCCAATTACCTTTTTGCTATATAAGTTTTTAAGTCTTTAGTGACTCTTTTCCTCTATCCAAACACAACTATCACAATGTTTCACTTCAAGCAGACTCCTTGTCAGAAGCCAGTTCTTCTATAACTCGACCTCCTGTTGTCTTTGAGTTCTTCTTTGAGTTTGACTCCTCCTTTAGTCAAACCTATTTTTCGTTATTGAACTCCAACTCCTCTCTCAGACTACTTGCGATTTATCTCATAAATAACACTATCCACACTGTCATCCCTGCACACTTGTCTTTACTCATTTTATTCTCATGTTCTTGAATTTTTCCAGCTTAGTTCATTGTTCCTGTGGACCATGCTGACTACCATGTTTCAACTTGTATTTATGAAATCATCAAAACTTCATTACCGCAACAACATTGATAGTGACAAATAATATTACAATAATGTCAGCGTATTCAATATGTAAAGTACTTAATACACAACTTCATGTCGCGATCCCGACCCACCGTGAGTGGCACCCATACAAATCCTCTAGTGGGAGAACCAATTGTAACCCAACCTAACTCATCTAACTATTTACAAAACCAAGTTACTATATAAAATACTAAGAAATCATTTAAATGTAAATAAAGTATTGAGCTCACATAAACTCAATAAATCATCCTAATATATAAGCCCTAGAATCTGAATGTAATAGCACCAAAACTCTAAATAATCACTAGTGGGGATACAACCCCGAAAACTAGAAAACATTAGCCTAATAGTCTAAAATGTGTGTCCAAAAAGATTGACAAAGGAATCGGAACATGAAACAGACTCCAAGTCACAATATCCTTATCAACCAATGTATGAAAAATGCCCCACATGATCACAAAAATACATATACCCGATCCTCTCATGGACCAACATGTCATAATCACATTATGAAAAAGTAAAACTGGTTTACTCATGGAACCAACATGTAAATTTGGTTCTCTCATGGAATTCACACACAAACTGTTAGTGTACTGGTGCAGTATTCGGGCCAACCATAAATGATTCACGCAGGAGTGGTATTGGAGACAACCATTACTATTTGTACTGGCGTGGTACCCAAGCCAACCATCATTCACAAGAAAGCACATACAACCATAATCACAATGAACAACCATTCTTCTACCTATAAGTAAATAACAAATTCATTGCATGAGATCATCAACATAGTTCATTTCACATTAGCCTGAAGTTTCTTCACATGCATCGCACAAGTAAGATTATAAAGCAATAGACATGCATACATTACATACTTGAAAAGTGAAAACACAACCATCACCTACCTTGAATCAAGCATTTGGAATCTCTAAAGAACTCGAGCTTTTCCCTTTATCAATGCCTTGGATCGTTCTTGGTCTAAATAAATAATAAAACACAACAATCAAACAATGATGGCCTAACAATACCAATATTATACACAAATCCTAATCCCAAGCCAACTCATGATCATTCTACCCAAATCAGGGCTTTTCCCACCATTAAATCAAGTTAAAACCTTCCCCCAAGAGTAATACCCTAGATTCTAAGGCTTAAGAATCAATTTACAAACTAGGGGAGTAACGAACTTACCTTTACAAGAGAACTATTAAGTGGAAAAACGGGTGGAAACTGCCTTAAATCACCCTCCCTTCTCTCAAGAACAAAGCTGTAGAAAATAAGAGGTTTTGAGACTATTCTGCATTAAATTCTGATTTAACCCGATATAGCATCCCGACCTGTTTTAGCGGTGTCGCCATAGCGACTTACCCCTGCTATTGCGCCTGCTAAATTCCCAGTATAGCGGTGTGACGCCCTCTATAACGACTTGCACAAACATCACAGACTTGGAAGCGCCTCTCCCCCCCTCTCCCCGCCAAAGGCCCATTTCACACCATACCTTCGACCCTTGGCACCCCAAGCTATCCCCTTCACGCCTAGTCGATACCAGGAATTTTACTCACCCCAATTCGTTTCCAAAAGGTCTTATGGGTTCCTTAATGTCTTAGCTACTAGAAAACATGAATCAAGCTTAGACATAACACCCAACCCATTCCTGGATTTCTCTAGACCTCACCTTGCTCAGATTTTGTCTGAGACTGGCATAGCCTAGAAATCTTAAGTCACTACCCAAAAAACATTCTAGACTAATTTCTTTCAGCATTAATTGGTCTACTAATAACGGTCGGAGTAGTTCGTTACACTTAACAACCTTATCTTTAAGGTTGTTAATCCGTGGCGATCTATAAAAATAACTTTATTGGTGGATAATCTTATACTTTTAATTCTGCTTGCGCCATAGACAAATTTTCATATGTAATAAGTTTTACTCTTTGGTCTAAAATAAATTGTCCATACGACACGTAGTGATCAAAAGTTTAAAAACATGAATTTCCAAGGTAATTGAGTGTACATGTATTACTACTATTATATTGCTAATATACTTAACAATAATCATTGATTTTGTTTGCAAATTGACAGTATAGTCAACAAGTGGAAACACCTATGGATACTGAATTTGTGTACAACAACGGACTGGATAAAGGCCCAACCTCTGTCGTTTTAGGCCCTAAAGTTTTAGCAACCATCTATTATCAATTCTCCCCTCCTGAGGTGAGTATGTATCAACTATAAACTTACTATTTTTCAACCCAAAAAAATTATAAACTTATTTTCCGTAACTTTATATTATTTCTAGGATAATATTTTGGGAAATTTGACTAATTTAAAAAATTAAATTAAACTAATGATGGTCAAATCATCATTCGTCATGTGGACAAAATGATTTTGCGAAATCGAATGAGTTTTTAGTTTACTCATAATGGCATGGATAAGCCTTTTCTCATATGGAAATGTCATAGATAACCAAACTTTTATCAGATGACATAGATGAGTCTTTTTCTCAAAGTCAGCCTTTTCCCATAATTCAATTGTTTTTTGATAATATTATGATAAAATTCAATAATTGTTGTCTATGGGACTCTACAGGACTTAACTCTTGCAACATATTTGGTAAGACCCGTACCATTGTTCGATGAGTCAGTCCTATTGACAAACACTACACTTTCAAAAGAGAAATATGGTAGTGTTCATCGTGTTTATGTTGTATGTGACAAGGACAAAGTGCTCAAGGAAGAACAATTTCAAAGGTGGTTGATTAAGAATAATCCACCAAATGAGGTCCAGATGATTCACGATGCAGGCCACATGGTCATGTTCTCTAAACCTAGGGAGCTTTGTTCTTGTCTTGTTATGATTTCACAAAAGTATCATTGATCTTTCACCTTGTTTATCAGTGGCGTCGTCACATATAGTCAGTTGAACATTCTTCGTGCAAAAATTATACGATATAAAAACAATTTGAAGTATATGGATCCTTAATTACATTCGTATGTATATACATATATTCTCTTGAACATCAATCCTTAATGAAATTTCGGATACACTTAATGAAATTTCTGATTTTGGTACTATGTGTTAGGGTTTTGCCCTGATTTTCTTACCATAATTTAAGATTTATTTTTCCTTAAAGAAAAAACAAAACATTAATTCTAATTAAATATATATAAGAAAAATTATAGGTGTTTAATACAAAGTATTAGAGAAAATAATATATATGTATTAATTTTAATATATTAAAAAAATTATGTTGGTTATAATGTTTTAGTATTTTTTATTTTTATAAATAGTAAATCATGATATTAATAATATGATATATTATTCTTACTTGAATCCTTCGTACTCAATATTATTTTTGTTTTAATATTAATATATTTTCTTCATTTAATACAACAAACTAGATAGTCTATAAAAATTATGCTTCGAAAACTAATCACAATGTACCTAATTTTATAATTATTAATTTCAGTATAATTATGATATCATATTCAATACATCCTATTAAACGACCCTTATGAATTTTAAATTCTAGAATAATAACTAGGTTCTTCTTTTCCATTTTGCACATATTTAATAAATTTTTAAAAACTAATTAGATTTATATCGAGAATTTAGGTGTTGTTTGATATTTAACTAGAGTTTGCGTATTAGTAAGATATAAGATTAGTTATGTGGAAATTTATTTATTATTTTATGTAAGAGATTGGTTATATAGGATTATTTAGTTATTTCATCTTTTGTGTGCATAAAATTATACATAAATTCTCCCATAACTTATATGTATATTAGTTATGAGGTTTTCAAATTACCAAATATCAAAACATCAAATTAATTTTATACATAATCCTAATCAATTATCTATCAAATATAATACTACTTATACAGAATCTAATACATTATTGTTAGGGTTTTGCCCTGATTTTCTTACCATAATTTAAGATTTATTTTTCCTTAAAGAAAAAACAAAACATTACCATAAATGTTTTTACTTTTCTTGAAAGGAAAATATAATATTATTTTATATTTGGTTTATTCTCTCCTTTTAGGACTCCTTTTCTAGTAGGAAAAGTTTTAGGACACTATAAATATAGGTCTGCTTCTTCCAACACAATAACAATAACATCCACAATGTAGTCGTTTAAGAGTCTTGTTTATGGGGAGATTTGTTCTCTCTAAAGTTTCAATGTTTTTTATATTAGTTTTGATATAATAATATTTTGATATTCTAGTATAAGTTTTTGTTATCTGATTTATCAACTATATGATTTGCAAATTGTAAGCTTCCGCATGACGCCCAATCACCCTTCAGAACCCAACAAATGGTATCAGAGCACATGGTTCAACGATCCAATGGTTCAATAACTCAGGTTCACCGAGGTTGAAGCTAGGCTCAAGATGGTTTCAAATCAATTTGTAATCAACGTGATGATAATGAAGATTTTTGTGCTACTACATGTGGAGAAAATTTTCAAATATATTTTCAACAATATCCTGCTGCTCCATCCTTTAAAACAAAAGCAATTTTCAACTTATGCTTATTTTATAGCATGGGCTCCAACTTTCAACCCCTGCAAACTTTAATGCTCGGGCTCCACTTTTAACTCATGTATCTTTACTTTTAACGCATGAGCTTCACTTTCAACTCATGCATATTACTTTTAACGCATTAGCTCCACTTTCAACCCTGTTAATCACTTTTAACACAGGGCTCCAAGTTTTAACTCATATCAATTTTAAATCATGGTAAGCAGCAGTGATACATGAAGATTTTGTGAAGAAGACAGATCAAGATTATCATGCAATGAAGAAGACAGATCAAGATTTGTCAAGAAAATCCAGCCAAAAGGGGAGATTTGTTAGGGTTTTGCCCTGATTTTCTTACCATAATTTAAGATTTATTTTTCCTTAAAGAAAAAACAAAACATTACCATAAATGTTTTTACTTTTCTTGAAAGGAAAATAAAATATTATTTCATATTTGGTTTATTATCTCCTTTTAGGACTTCTTTTCTAGTAGGAAAGGTTTTAGGACTCTATAAATATAGGTTTGTTCTTCTAACACAATAACAATAACATCCACAATGTAGTCGTTTAGAGAGTTTTGTTTA